AGTCAAAGTGGTTTAATTGATTATAGATGGCAAAGGAAATGCGGTATCTTTACTCCGTGTGGCAGAACTGGTAGGTAAAACGATACCATTCGAAGAGTGTGACGTCTGTGACCTGGAAAAACTGGACGGAGTTTTTGCGAAGGTACGTTTTTCCAAGGATGCTGTAGGATGTTGACGTCACTTTTTAATTTATTGGAAATTCTTGTCTGTTATTTTTTCTACAAGAGGTGAGTTGAGATTTAAGTCGTTCATTCTCCCTCGTATAGGATACCTTTTTCTCCAGCTATATTTAAACGTGCTGTTGCTATGGTGAATGTTGAACCTACGTGTTTTAAATCAATTTCGATCATTACAGGGACATTTTGATGGCTTGATACATCTCGCTGCATTAAAAGCTGTAGGAGAGTCAGTTGCCATGCCGTACGAATATTATTCCAACAACCTTATCGCTAGCCTCAACTTGATAAAGGTTTGAAAGTTTCCCTTTTTTTTCAAATACGAAGTAGCTTAGTGAACAGTGAAAATAGTTGCTTGTTAAAGAAATCAGATATTAATAAGTTTCTGGTCTACCGTTCTTTTAGATGTGCCAGAAATATGATGTCAAAAACTTCATCTTCTCTTCAAGTGCCACCGTTTACGGGAGTCCCAAAGAATTGCCCATCACCGAAAACGCCCCTACAGGACAGGTGAACAGATTTTCTGATCACATATTTCTATTCTTCAAAATCTCAGTAAAGTTTTGTTCAAATTTGTAGGGCATAACGAATCCCTATGGTCAAACAAAGTACATGATGGAACAAATCCTAATCGACGTTGGAAAGGCACATCCTGTAGGTTTTTTTAAACTTTTATCCAGCACTTTTGATATAACATATTGTAATTATTTGCTACAAGTATCCCCAACTTAGGACTGGAACATTGTTTTGTTACGTTACTTCAACCCTGTGGGTGCGCATCCAAGCGGAAGAATAGGAGAGGATCCACGCGGCATCCCCAATAATCTTATGCCTTTCGTTAGCCAGGTCAGTCGGCTCAAAAGCTTTTCTTACCACTTAACCAGAGGTTTTTTCTTTCTGATTTGTTATCGCTTAGTATTTAGGTTGCCATAGGCAAGCTTCCTGTACTGAAAATTTTTGGTGATAAGTGGGACACCCCTGATGGCACTGGAGTACGAGATTTCATCCATATAGTTGATCTAGCTCGAGGGCATGTGAAGGCTCTAGACAGAATAAAGAAGCTAGGTTTGTGTTAAGTTTATTCATTTATTTTTAGAGCCTTTATGGACTAGCTTCTTTCAGTATCTTAATCGCT